GACCGATTCAGTTTCCTCCTGCCTGAACTGATCAACAACAGAACCGCAGAACTGTCAGAGGGGCTCTGGAAAGATTCAGCCAGCGGTTTTAATAAAAGGCCGACACAAACAGCTGACGCTTCGCCTTGCCAACTGCTGTCAGGCCTGCCAAACCCCTGATTTTGGACTGTGTAAAAACACACAGACACACAAAGAGAAAAGTGGGTGTGTAATAATAATGACCTCAGCTCATTCAGTGATTAGAGCACTCGGGTTTTATAATGGTGAACGAAGGGGAACACCACTTTGGCTACCGGCTGCGCCTCTGGCAGCTCAAACCAGCTCCTGCAGAACAGCTGGACGTGTGGAAAATAGCGGGGGGGTGCGAGCACCCACAGGTTTACGTTACAAGACAAAAAAAATCAACTCCAAGGTCAAAGGAAACTTTTGTTAAACAGTTACAGGCCTGAGTGCTTTCTTCTTTCCCTTCCCTTCTATTGACTTGTGATAATTTTAGTTGATCTGCAGCCAGGTTGAGCAGCGTGTCGCTGTGCAAGGGTCATTATTTGTCTTGAAACTTGAAGGAGGAACATAAGGTGTCAGATTTAGTGGAAAGAAAGGGTAAAGGTCACTTCCCTTGAGCATAAAAGTGTTTAAACTCCTCTCGGTCGCCTTTCCACGAGGTTCCAGTTGAACGTGTGGAGGTACGATAGATTTCAGGTGTATCCACAAACCCCGCCTTGGTCTGAGCAGGCGCCTGAACGGGATCCGTATCTACTACAGGATAAGAAAGCAGCTCTCGTTGAGTCTATTGTGCTCGTTTTCAGCTCTGCGTATTTAGTCTTGAAGATACTGAAACTATAGAAACTTTGGCCAAGGTGTTTGCTGGATGTGTCACGCTTCTGAAATGTTTCCTGACATCATAAAGTCAAACTTCCTCAGGTCATGCACTGCAGGATAAAGAGGTTGGCTGAGTCATTCGGTTGCAGCTCTTGAGCGTCTTTTAACGCCCCTGATTGTAAAATGATGTCAGTCGTTGCAACACCTGCCGTTATTGCACAGCATTGTAGTGCACCTGAGGTGTGGCCTCCCGAAAGTGAAGAATGGTGTTCAGTGAGAGGCAGAGAGTGTCTCCTGCTTTTTGGAAATCATTGCATTGATTTGTTTGGACACGCGAGATTGTAGTTTTCAGCCTGTAAGGTTTCACGCACAGTCAACTTTCTTTAAGGGATTCTGGGATTCAGCGTCCCAGAGATCTGCTGAATGCAGCCCAGTCGCCTCTTTCTCAGTGAGTTCACTCTCTACGTGAGCCGGGCCGCTCCTTTTGACTCATCGCGGCCTTTACAACTTCCCGAGCGTCCTTCTCATCGAGCTCACCCTCCTTCAGATGCGTCAGTGGGCAGAAGGACGCGACTTCAGATGCTCGATTTAACGAGCTCTCCGGTTAATGTTTTACATTTGCACGCTTGGATTCTTCTGCTGCATTCCTGGAGAATTAGCATGGACATCCTCCACCCCCTGTTTCCTGTGCTGCGCCTCTAAAGACAGGAAGTGGATTAGCTGGCTGCTGATTGGCTGAGGAGAAAAAGAAGTGATGGTGTGATATGAGAAAAACAGACAGACACAATTGGGGGGAAATACTGATGCCAAGTAAGGCTGAGTCGCTCTCTGTGAATCTGATTGTTATCTCATGCCATTTATCTCCTCTCAGCGCTTCTGTGAGCTGATCACACACGTCCATGTTTTTCCTTTCAGCTGCAGAAATCCTCTGACTCATGGTGTGTGTGTGAGTGTGTGTGTGTGTGTGTGTGTCACTGTGGTCATTGTGCTTGTTGCTCTGTGCCAGATTCAGCACAGATGCTCTAATTTTGTTGTGGCAGCTCTGAAGGTCCTCTTAAATCGGTGTAAACAAGCACAATGTTTCAAGATGATGATCAACTTTTGCACATTTGGGTTTATTCCACGTTTATCCTTTTTATGAAGATCTGTAAGAAATCCATGGTTTAGTTTCACGTCTTAATTTTCTGTAAGAATGGATGAATACCAAAAAATGTTTCGATTACTGACCTGTATCATGAAAACATTAATAAAAAAACCAAAATGTTACATTAAAAAAAAATTTGTTACTTTTCGCTTAGGTTGTAAGGTCTGCCTTGATCTTGTTTTCCATTCATGAGTTTCTGTTAACGTATTTGTGAAGGAGTGTTTGGATTCGTTTGCTTGCTGGAGAGGTCCTTCACTCTGATAATTACAGGAACGTAAAGAAACCGCAGCCCCAGCTCCACCTTGTGATCATCTCGGCCTTTTACCAGATATCACCGACTCTCTGTTTGGACTGAACTGTTTATGTGATCATGTTTAATAGCCCACTTTTATGTCCTCCATTTAAATCTGAGCGATGCTGTGTTGCCAAACAGCTACTTGCACAACCGAGATTTCTTAAGGATGCATTACAAGAGCTTTTCTCACTGTCAAGTGATTTGTGTGTACAGGAACAAGCTGACATGAACCAGAATGATGGTGAAAGGAGGAAGGAGACGGGGAGAGAGTGAAGATTTGTTAGAAAGGGAGTTTGAGGGAGGAAGAACATAGCAGGCATTCCTGACATCTGTCGTGTGCAGCAGAGCTGACAGTCGCCTTTGATTCAGCGTGCCTCTCTCAGCCCGCTCCTTACCTTTACCCGTCATCCTGTCACCACTCTGCAGTCTCAGGCATGAAAAAAAGCAAATTTGCAGAGATGCTTGTGGTTTGTTTTGCCAGCTGAAGAGGGTGGAGTCGCTGGAGCGAGTGCCGCAAAGTTGAGACAACAAAAATGTATTTTTTCCTCCTCCCTCTCCTATCTGGATAATTTTATCTCCTGCTGCAAACGGGGGAAAAAAGTCAGACACATCTGGAAAGCAATAATGCACAACATTTGGTGCAAATAAATCGGTTCGCTTTCTTTGTGTGCTCAGTTGCTATAAAACACTCGTGCTTTGTGTGCTTGGTTCATCCAGTTTGGTTGGTCTCCTGTTCTGGAGAGCAGATCAAAGCCCACTCTGGGAGCCTTTTGTCTCTCATCGCCGCTCGTCCCTTCATTTAAACCCAGGAAGAGCCTCATTAGATGTCGCCCCGCGCGGCCGCCTCCTGCTATGAGCTGTCACCAAAGAATTAAAGTCTGTGACACAAACTGGTTTATTTGAACAAACAGAACATGATTCTCTGCTCGCTCGTCTTCAGCTCGTCTCCGTTGACACTCCTTGTGGGATGAACTTGGAAAAATCTTGCTTACGTGGTGGAACTTAATAATGTGTAACTTTCTGGACCGGATGGAAGTTGGATATTAATTGAATGGTTTTCCATTTTTCCGTTAATCATTGATGCCTATTGTTAACAAACTGGGTGGTGTTTACCCTCGACTACTCCACCAGCTTATTGCTTCACTGCAAGTTACTCAGCCGTTTCCGTCTAAGTACCAGTAGTTGTTTTATCGTAGCCTTTTAAGCACCACAGTGATGGCACAGACTTTGGATTGTTATTAGTTTTAAATTTAGAAGACAAGAAGAAAAGTTCTCTAAAAAACGAATAGCTGTCTTTTTAAGAAGCCGTTTATATTTAATTTTTTTGCTTTAAACTTCTGCTATTGTGCGTTTACACTGCCAGTACCATCACTAATGTGACAGCCTGCTAACCGTTGAGGGTTTGGTGCTTCTTGTGGGTTTCATGTTGACAGCAGAGTTTGAACCAGAAGACTGGTTAAACCCAACGCTGTGACAGGTTCACATTGAATGTTCGCTCCACCCGCTGTAACAGTATTGCGATAATTGTGTGGCCCAGGTGAAGCAGCTACAGGTTGGTGTGGACTTTAGCTTAACTTTCCTATGATGTAAAAACTGATGTGGAGTCAAAGGGATGTTTCCTCTGATGCTTATGGGCCTAATGGACTTCACTAGATCTACTTGTTACTTACACAGCTGATGTTGATGAATGCTAACGGAGTGTGTTTTTAATATCTGGATTTGTGGTCCTAAATGTTACGTCAGGTTAATAAACTGGCACTCGGCCATCAAGTCTTTGGCAGTATCCGATTTCGACCAATGTGCCAAAGTGTAACGGTCCTAAAGTAGGACCTGAAATAGTCCCCAAAAACCAGGTTCCAGAGTAGTTTGTAGTTCCTGCAGTGTGGGCGGAACAAAAAGGAAGGAGTTGCTCAAAGAATCGCAGGAGGTTTGGAAAAAGTCTCCATGGCTCAAAAGCATTTTAAGACCCCAAACTTTTATATGGCGGCCTAATGCGTCAGCCAAAGCCCTGAAACGTAAATGCCAACCACATCAGCCCCATATTCTCTTTGCAGGCCGCTGCTGTGTCACCATGTCTTTGTGCAACGATGGCCTGTGTGATTCGTTGCCCAAGTCACCAGCAGTCTTTATTGACACACAGCTGGACAGTATTGCCTCATATAATGTGTAAATATGCAGACGCAGTGGGCAAGAGACCATTAAAATGGGAGTGTGGTATTATGCCATGTGTGTGCCGAGTGATACGATGGTTCAAGTTGGAATGACTGCAAATAAAAATTCTGGATTGATCAACTTCTCCTTTTTTTCCCCTTCTGTCAGCGAGAAATAAAACCAACATCTTTCACAACATGGAGTCAGAGACCAGCTGGAAAATCCTGAGCTACAGTAATTTACTGCATGAATATTTTAATGTTGTTCCTGTTGTGTATAAAAATGCGGCCCTGTTATCGTAAGGGGACCCAACTGATCCTAAAATAGGTCGGGGAGGCTGTGTGTGAGTGCAACCTGACCCGTGGAAGGACTCTGAGTAACAAAGACAGGAAGGGACGTAATAAATGAATAAATAGCCACATCGTTTGACACTTTGCCCCCTTCCCTCCCCTTTCTTCCTTATTTCCTGTCTCCTTTCCTTTCTCTTTACCTTGAAAGTTTCCTCTCATAAAACAGCAGCAGAACACTGAAAGCCTCCCCGCAGCTGCTGGAAAACTTCCTGCTGCAGATAAATGAACATGTCGTCATTTATCTTTTTTTAAAAAACTGGAATTGTAGTTTGGATCAGAGTGACGTTAAGTCCCTTTACTGTAAAAGAAACTGTTGCATAACAGAATGTCAGATGATGCATACTCAGAAGCTTGACTGCACCCTGCTATACGTTATGCTGTATGCAACTTGTGTAGTTTGAGTTTGCATTGCAGCCAAGCACAAGCTGTGTTACTCATCATTGTTTACATAGCTGCAAAGAAGTGACATTTACATGTGGTTTGCTTTTGTTGGGGGGTAAAATGTTATTTGCAGGGAGACGAGCAGCATCTTACTCTTTTCACTCACACTTTTGATGGAGCATGCATGACTCAATCTGTGGATCTCAGGACTCTGCTTAGCCTTTCAGTCGCCCAGAGGTTGGTTCTTTGGACCACTGACTGCATTTGGGCCAGAAAGTTATCTTATTAGCTAGATGTGAAACACCTGCAAATTAATGCCGATTTGGCTGATAAATACTAATAAAATAATAGAATTTCATTCCAAAAAATTGTAGCACAGCTGTGACAGCAGGTCATATTATTGTCAAATGACTCCAGAAATGTGCTTGTGCAGTTGGTGCAATTTGGAACAAGAGGAGACGACCTGCTCCTGTGACTTGAATTAGTGAAAGCGAGCTGAGCCAGACGGCTAACATTAGCCAGTCACACACAAAGACCCTGCAGAGTCGTTATGAAGGGAGTTGTGTGGCACCTTTTGCAGAAACGAATTCAGCTTTTGAAAATCCTTTCAAAAAAGGATCCAATAATAATTCCTCATCGTTACTTTTTCTTATTATTGGGTTTTCTTCCATGAGGTTAACCCGCGTCCAGACTTCCAGCCAATCAGACTAAGTGGTCATTAATAATGCAGCGTGTTTTTTTTAAGTGGACAGATTCCTGCACAGCTTGCTGGAGGACTGAGGGGAATCTGGCCTGTAAATCGAAGACGTCGTCTGGTGTAAAACAAAATTCGTTTGAAGTAGATTGTTTCTTGGCGTGCGGGGCACATCTGATTGTTTCAGGGAAACATGCTCGTTCCATGTAAGAGATTAAAACTGTAAGTGTGCATTTCCCTGTGGAGGGAGAGTCTCCTCAGTCTGCTCCGGTTGGTTAATGACGATGATCTCAGCCTCTGTCCTGTGGCGGCAGAGATCTCAGGTCCACGAAGGCCCGGGCGGGACTTTTGTGCTTCCTGAAGAGGAGGGGGAAACTTCAAATAAAACGTTTTATTCATTTATTTGCTTTTCTTGCATCCTTTAATTTTCTATTCATTTGTTTCTCATAAATATCTGTTGATCGTCCTCTTCAGCTTTCATCCCACCAGATTGCTTTTTTTTTTTTTTTTAAACCTCTTATCCCACATTCACCCATCTGTGACCCTCATTTAGCTTCTCACTGTAATGGTAAAGTTACTTTACTTTTTAATTAAGGGTGTTTTTTTTAATTTTTTAAATTTTTTTTTATTTTTGTTTGTTCGTTTGCTTTTTTTAAAATCCGGGGATGGATGGATAAAGTGGCACCATCTGAAGCTCAGACTTTGTTTTGTTTCAGCCTCTTGTGGGCAAAATCAGATGCAAGATTGTCTTTCTTCTGTTTTTTAGCAACATTTTTCCATCTTTTCCCACATTTTTATTGCCTCTTTATTCCTCCTCCCGTTCTTGATCTTCGCCTGCACCCCCCTCCTCTCCATTTCCTCTGCCCTCCCCTCCTAACCTCCTCTCCTTAATCCTCCCTTTCCTTTGTTTCTGTTAGCTGCTATATTAAGGCCCCTCCAGAGAGTCTGTGTGTCTGACTGAACGCAAGCGATGGTGCTTGTTGAAAACAGTTGGCGTTGAGCTGTTGACTCACATAATGGCATATCTGAGGGGGCATTAGGCCGCCAAGAAGCGCACGGCAATTACATGTTTGTCGTCTCCCTCTGGGAGGTGTGTGCGCGCCGTGGTGAAAGATTGTCCTTACATTACTGACTACCTGTCAGCACACGAGGGAGGCTGCCTCAGTCTGTGTGTGTTTGTGTGTGTGCACACATGTTAATGATCACCTGTCCAGACTTGAGAGGATAATGAGACCGGAGGAACCTCTGCAGCAGGGCTCCGCTCCGTCGTCCTTCTGTTCTTGCTCTGCTTCGCTGTCACCATTAGCAGAAGTCCGGTGACCGCGCGTATTTGCGAGCATCTCGGCCGGCTTTCCTTCTGCCTGTAGAAGCGTTACGCCTGGCTTTGACACTGCATCCCACTTGATCTTTATCGTTTGTTGTTTCACAGTCGGAGATGCTGCCAGTTGTCTGAAAGTTTCTATCAGCCTCAGGAAAGTGTTGATCTGCAAACAGCTGTTCACTCGTTTAGCTTCAGGCTGGTTCCTCCTTCTCACTTGTCTTAGTCCTCAAACTAGGAACACTCCCAGGTTCCTCCGACCGTGGCTCCTGTGGGACGGCACAGTTTCCCACTCTGACTGCAGCACGGCTGTCCTGATGTTCTTAAATGAAGGCTTTGTTGTTTTTGGTCCGTATGTGTTGACAGAATAAACATGTACATTCAGATTGTTTACTCGTTGAGTTCACACACAAAGCAAACTGTCACACGGACAAAGTGGAGGAAGTGTGTGCAGCAGTAGCAGCACTGCTGTGTCACACGCCACAGCCCTTTTTTAATTGGTGTGCATCTAAGAATAGGAGGCCTTGTGTCAGGCCAGGCCAGACTAGTTACTGAGCTTTATTCACAGGGCCAGGCCAGCATGGTTTTGGCCCGGCAGAGTCTGGTACAGCCGGTCCAGACTTCTATGGGGCCGTCCAAGTTCCTTGAGGTTGTACCTCCTGCCAGCAGGTCCACGTATAACCCCTTTAAAGTGGACCTATTCTGCTCGTTTCTCTTTATTTTTATTCTTGGACTCTGCTGGAGTACTTTGCATGATTCGCAGTTAAAAAATAAGCGCCGTTTGTCTCACACTGGGCCTTTGTGCAGCCCCTCGGTTCAGCCGCCGCCGGAGATGAGCTGAACGGTTTGGAAGAAAAACATCTAGAGCAGCCTGAAGCCGGCGCTTGTGGCTCAGGAGGATACTCGTACATACGCCGACCCCGTTACTTAAATCTTTGCTCCATATTTCAGATGTGCAGTTGCTGCAGTTTATACATGACTGAGAAAATAAGGAAGAGCATCTTTACCTTAACTATCATTGCAAACCGGATGCAACAGCATGCGATATTTTAGCAATTCTCACGCTGACACAGCTGATCGCTGTACTGCTGAGTCACTTTCTCATCTCTCCAAGTCGTGCTGGCTTTTTTTCATTTCCTCTTTTCAGGGTTTTAATGAACAGAGCTGTTGATGCAAAAATGAGTAATGAGCAGTTACATTTAGTTACCATTTTGGCCTCCATCCATACTAAAACTTATTATTATTTATTTGACTTTTAGGTTGCAAACGCAGGCTTAGAAGTCCAAACCCTCCCCGGGCTTTAGCAGGTTTTAAATTCAGCCCCTTTTTAATTTAAAAAGTTGATTTGTATTGTATTAAATCAGTGAGTTAAATAATAGTGATTTTTGATTTTGGGCATAGATTTGTGCAGGAGAAACGGTGCAGCAGGTGAACGCTGCTGCTACAAAAAGTGTAAAACTATCTGTGAAGTCACGGAAAGCAAAGAACCATCTGTTGATGTTTGAGCCTCACACTTCAACGCATGCTTGGCTCTAGACGTAACAGTCGTGTTATCGGATGGTTAACTGCACATCAGCTCAGCGTTTCTGCCACCAAACAGCTCTGTTTCCTCCTCTGAGCTCACCTCACTGCATGTCCGAGCCTGCCCGGCTGGAAGCCTGTTTTACTCGCTGACTGCTGCCGGTACAGAAGGAGGGTGTGAGAAAATCTAACTGACATGGAGTGTGTGTGGTTTCACCACCTCTGCATAGGCTCTCCGTGTATATTTATAAACTGTGTGTGTGTTTCGAGAGGAGGGGTCTTAATCATGAGAGTGTGAGATGTGAAATACATGATTCATGAGACCCCAGCAGGTACGAGACTGATGGAGTGTGTGTGTGTGTGTGTGTGTGTGTGTGTGTGTGTGTGTGTGTGTGTGTGTGGTTGCTTTAATAGTGAGCTCATCAGTTTTGGGAAGAAAAAGGGTGTGTGATATAGAAAACACACACACACGCACTGCTGTGTGTGTGGTATGTAGTCAGAAAGTTGCACGTTCATTAGAAGAAGGGTGTGGAGATAATTGCTGTGTGTGTGTGTGTGTGTGTGCACGCTTGAAGTTGAGTTGAAGTCGGCAGCAAAACTGGAATTTTTGTGTGTGTAGGTGATGCAGATGGATATTGAATTCTGGTCTCTTAAAAACATTCCTGTCCAAGGAGTGGTGCATGTAAACGAGGGTGATGGACAGCATCGCTGTGCACAGCTTGCATGCTTTCACTTGTCTCACATGCATGAATTTCTGCTTTGTCCTCTGACCCTGTAGCCTCGCACATGAGAGACTGTTGAGGGTTACACTGATGACTCGGCTGCACGCACACACACACCAAAATCAGACACTGGAGTTGTTGGTTCAGGAAAAATAGAGTGGCGACTCAGTGGGGTTGATGAATCCCTACAGCTGATGACAGTATTTGTCTGCAATGTCCCATCAGTTTTAATTAAATGAATAAAGAAGTTACCGTTCATTAAAGATGGCGTGGTAGAAGGATAAACGACTGATGGTAACACTCACTAACGGATATTTTTGTTTCTGGGCTAAAATGCGGAATAAATGGGACGAAGAAAAATCTATATTGTTACATAGTTTCATAGTTCTGTTACTCTGGTAACATGTAAAGGTGAGAGTGGCAGTAAGCCAACACATACTGCTAAAGTTATGTAATAGATGGTAGAGGATAAGAGCCCTCATGCCTTTAAAAGTAAACCGTCTTACCACGGAGATCCAGCATTACTCATCTCAGACCTGCATGGCGGTCAGCTGGTTATCCGTGTCCTCGGCTCAGGTCAGAAATCCTCTGATCTGATCTGCTGTGTGTGGCAACACAGACAGGTTTAACAGGCTTCGCTGGCACTCTGTTACCTTTAAATTTAGCCAGTCCTTCAAGTACACTACACCCAGCTCCGCTGGCATGAAAGACGCCCAACTGTGGGGATAAAAGACGCAAATGTGCAAGCAGCTTTTGACATTTTGCATTTTAAACGCTCATTTAAATGTCATCCAAGAGTTGGACGATACATGTCTGGTTAGGTTCAGTGGACTTTCATCAGCCTGCTGGTGAATGGACGGCAAAGCTCTTGTAGCTGCTTTTTCTTGCATAGTGTCCTCTCAGCGTGGTTCACATCGGCCTGTAAGATCCTCTCAGCAGCTCCGCTCCTTGCTGTCAGTGAATGGCCTCGGGCAGCCAGAGGCAGGCTTTGTGTGTCCACTATAAAAAACAAGACCTGAACTATGACAGACACGCAACAGCCTGATGGACCAGCCTGTTTTAAATTCAGATAAAGCAGGCTGAAGAGTCCTTCAGTGCTTTGTTGAGGTCTGACCTTTGACCCTGGAGGAAGGCCACGAATGCTACTTTGCCAGTAGAGTGATTGCTGTCACAAGAATGATGACATCAGCAAAATAGACTTTACTGTCAATGGAGCTCTTTTATTTTTTTTAGTGTGTATATAGAGGAGAAGACCATCACTGCCTTTCAGTTTGCTTCAACACAGACGCCATTTTTCTCCACCTGCCCAGGTGCATCTCACACATGCTAACCAATGAAAAACGAGAATCAAACGTCCCAGGTTACAGTTTCTCAACTCACTAGAGATGGAAGTCATTTGTAACAGGAAACCAAAGCCGATTAAAACAAATGAAACATCAGCGTGCCCAGATGTGTTTGAGAAACTCATTAGACAGTCATGAACTTTTTGTACAGCTCTTATTTTTTATTATTTTCAACTTCTTTCAGAAAACTGTTTCAGGTTTTGAACTCAGATTCGGGTTTCGTTAAGGCACTGAGAATAGAGAATACATTCACGTAAAACGTCCTCACAGAATCAGCCAATCAGACGTGTGTGTGTGTGTGTGTGTGTGTGTGTGTGTGTGTGTGTGTGTGGTGTTTTTAATTAGTTCTTATTTTAAATTTAGAACTGAGAAAGATCATATAGTGTCTTTTATGGGCTTCCTGGTTTCCTTTTAGTACAAGCTCAGTTCGGTATTGCATTCTTGTTCCTTTTCACTGCTATTATAGGTGCTGTTTGTCCGCTGTGAGAACATAGAGCAGTTATTTCAGTACAAACGCGTCTCAGACTATCACACGACACATGCACAGCAGCTCGATTTCTGTTATTTCTAAAGTCTAGTTTTAGTTTTGGTTTAAAAGTGTATTTTTTTTCTCTACACTTGGATTTGGTTTAGTTTCAGTCAACTATACAGTAACTTTACAGAGTGGAGCAGAGAGAACAGCTCGTAGCCTGAATGTGGCCTCAAACACGGCACTGCACTTACTCGGGTGCCCAGAAGTACATTTGTTAGGTTTAAGGTGGACTGAATAATACGTTTGTAGAAATGGCTGAAAATGGAGACTCTCCATTTTTTTTTCTTTTACTTTGCAAAGCACAGGTGTGCGCTTGTAGATGTTGTGTGCACCACTTGGACTCTGTAAGGAATGCCAGACATCAGCCCTGTATGAATGATGGGAAATGGGCTTTGCAAGGCGCATTGTGTAAAGTATTTTCAAACTGTGAAACGTTGAGTGAGCGCGAGGTGAAATACGCTCTCAAAAGCTGGAATGTGTTGCAGAGAAAGATTAGAAAATGAGTAAACTGTTGATATGTTTGGATGACGACAGTTTGCCGGCTTCGTGGCTCCGGTGCGGCGTCTTGGTGACAGCTGACAGCCGCGTCCAGTGATGAATGCATCTTCGCTCTGATTGTCTGCTCTGTGTTAAACCGAGCTGTAACTTCCTGTCGTTGCAGTGCCACTTCCTCCTGCATTGTGTGTTAGCGAGGGCATTGTCTTTTGTCACTCTTCCCCCTCCTGCCCACCAACCTTGTTTGTATGTCCGTTTGTTTATGTGAAATGTATCTCCTCCTCCTCCTCCTTCCTCTCTGTCCTCGGCCTCATTCTGTGTAATTGTGTGTGTCGGGTGGAGGGGGTTGGTATCGGGCGGTCTGGGGGAGGGTCAGGGAGAGGCAGAGGGAGCGGGCTGAGGGAGTGTACAGGGGGCTGAAGGGTGCCATTATCCAAGAGGCTCAATGGGTGCTTTGTGCCAGTATCCACAGTGGGATAGCGGGGAAAGGGGCAGGGCGGCGAGCAGCACCCTGTCATAATGTTTATGAACACACAGCTCAGGAGACGTGGAGTAAAGGAAGTGTGGGTGGGTGAAGTGGGCTGATAGACTTTAAATACAAACTGTTAACTCTGGTGGAGGCTCATTAAATATGACCACAGATTGAAAATTGATATCACCATTTGTTGACGTAATCCTTGTGAGCTGATGTTTAAACCCTCTTTGTACGAGGGGCAGCCAATCAGAAGAAAGCTGGCTCGTCAGAGGGGAGGAGCTTAATAGCTCATTTCAGGAAGAGTGCAAGATGGTCTGAGACAAATCAGAATGTGAATCATGCAAAGCTACTGTAGACAGACACAAGGCTGAATATACAGACATACTGGAAATGAGCACAAGTCCCTTTTTAAAGCTGGGAAGTTATCAAAGTTGTGTCTGTTGTGTGTCTGTTGTGTGTCCCGTTTGAGTCTGTTTACATTCTGGATTTTGTGCTGCCTTCCAAGTGCGCAGATGCACATACTTGGATTAGACTGCTTCATGCTTAGATGTTTAGGTTATTTAGTTTTTAAACAAACATGTGCACCAGTTATTTCTCTGAGCTTTGGGACATTTTCAGCATATTACATAAATAAACTTCCCAATATTTCTCATTTAACGAGCACTTGCCATTTTAATGATCTTGCACATAGATACAAACACTGCTAGACTGATGGGGGCTCACACTAAACATGGCCTGTCTTGGCTCTTGCTTGGTAAAGGGGGATAACATGTAAGTCATGTGGGCACACAACTCTGACTGTGAGCATAGAAGCTCCACCCACTTTAAACAAAAAACTGCTGTTTGCATGTGTCAGCCAATCAGAAGAAGGTATGAGTTAAGTGAGGCCTGTTCTTGTGGAGATGGGTCAACTTTAAGCTGGATTCAGTTATTTTTATTGTTAAACTTTATTCAGCACTAACATACAGGTTGTTGCTGTGCTTCCTTTTGTTTTACCTTATGTGAATGTGTGTGTGAATGGGTGGATGACTGGATATGTAAAGCGCTTTGGGGTCCTTAGGGACTGGTAAAGCGCTATATAAATACAGGCCATTTACCATTTATTTATGTCTTTATTGTCAAACCCTTCCTGCTGGAAGGTCTTCCCTGTCACCGTCACTTCTCCTACTGGACAGTTCCTCGTAAAGCTTCACCTACATTTCATCTCCAGAGCTTTCGTGTTGCTTAAAACTGCCTCTTTAATCTCTCAAGTACATAAATTACAGTTTTTCTGTTTTGAACAATAACAAAAAATACTGACCTCAATCTCTGCTTGCACCATTGCTGAAAGTGTGCATGCTCGACCTCCATGTATTTTAGTCTCTTGGCATTTTTACGCACTTTCCCCAACTTGCATAATGAGTCATGTAACAGATGAATGCGTCCAAGTGTGTTAGACAGTCTGATGTTGTGCTGCAATTGAGATGTTTGGAGAGTGACGTGACAAAATTTTGTTTAAAAAAAAGTGCTGCAGGATCTGCAGTCGCGCGCCTACCTCTAATGTGTTTTTAAAGAATGACGGCTAACCAGAAAAACCAATGCACGGTTTCCAAGCAGCGGTGGATGTGCATGATTTGCTGATTTACTCAGATGTCCGTCTGATTACAAGTAAAAATAATAAAGTAGATCGTTGGCATTGTGTGCTGACCTTTTAATGACAGCAGCGTCAGACACTGAGAGCCAAGATGGGGCTGGGTTGGTTAGTTTTCTGTCTTTTTAGCTCAAATGACTTTTTAGGGTAACTATGCATGAAGTGTTTTGCTACTGAAATGCCAACTCCACATCTTCGTGTGTGACATGTAGTTAAACTTTCACGTCGTGTTTCTCCCTGCACTTCCTGTCTTATCAAAGTGTCTCCCTGACCTCCCTTCCTGCCCATTGAATTTCATTTTCTTTCATTCACTATTCAAAGTGGTTTATTATCATAAAAGCTACACAAATATTTTGACCCGGGCTGCAAATAACCCCAATTGTCTTTTTTTTTTTTTCCTTCCTTTGCTCTCGCGCAGACGTTCACGGCGTGGTGCAACTCCCACCTGCGGAAGGCCGGCACGCAGATCGAAAACATCGAGGAGGACTTCAGGGATGGGCTCAAACTCATGCTGCTGCTCGAGGTCATCTCCGGTGAGTCACCGTCCGACCTCAGAGAGCCGGAGTCGTCAGAAAATTAGGGCGGGTGTACAAGTTTTTAATTAAACGTCTGCAATAATGAAGTGTTTCTGGAGTGAGTCACACAGAAGCCGCAGAAAAACTTGTGGGTCTCAATGAGAGGGAAAAATATTTTCAGATGTTGACGATGCACAGCATCTCCGGGGTGTCGTCGCCCAGTTTCCGACATCAGTATTAATCGCAGGCATTTAAAGACACAGCAGTGGGTTTGGGTTTGTAGCAGTGGAGCTGTTTGTGTTAGCGCTGCTGTCATTCACTAATGACGTTTGGGCTCAGATATGGCTTCCTTTTCAAACTCACTCCAGTTTCAAGTGAAGCCGGCGTCGCTGCTGTAACTTAAACCTCCCTGAATGTTGCCCGTGGAAACATGCTCAACCTCAGCTAAGTGGCTCTTTTCTCTGTTCCTGTGTGTTTGTGTGTTTGCAGGCGAACGGTTACCCAAACCTGAAAGAGGCAAGATGAGGGTCCACAAGATCAACAATGTAAACAAAGCCCTGGACTTCATCGCCAGCAAGGGAGTCAAGCTGGTGTCTATCGGAGCAGAGGGTGAGCCTTCATTCACGTCACTGCCGGCACGAGTGTGAAGTTAACTCTCACTAACTGCAGATCTAATCGGAGCGGTTCGCTTAAATGTTTGAAAGCGTGGCTGAAAGGGAACATTCGTGGCGATTTTATACTTAGTGGTGAGCTTCGGCTCATTAATGGTCCTTAAATGGGAGCCACTAATTGCAGCTGTAATGTGAGTGAAAGCGATTCAAAGCAGGAAGACGTTAAAACTAATAAGGCCTTTTAATGTAGACGCAGATTTTCCTGTGCTCGCTGTGCTGTGGTATGCAACAGTGTCAGGGAGCTCCGGACAAACAGGGCTCAGACTATGAGGTGTAGGTACGGTTTGTTGGTACTCACGCTCCAAAATTTCCCTCAATCCAAAGAGTTGAGTTGTATTTATTTAAAGACACTGTATTTTCTAAGGAGGGCCAAAATGAATTAAATATGCCGTTAAATAATTTATTAAATGTTTTAAATGTAATGAACGAGCATTTAATTAATTATTTAATGGTGTATTTAAGTGTATTTAGTTAATTCATTTTGTCACTCCTGGCTCTCCATAATTTCCCTGATAAGACATTTAAGTCGTTCCGAAACAGGTGACGTGGTCAGCTGTGAACTTTCACATGCGATTGATTTGATGCGCAGTGACACTTTTACCAAGTCCTCGCAGAAGCAGGTCTTTCCACTCAGCAGCCATCTTGGTGACACCACCTGGCAGTTGTTTGGTCTGCTAAACTGGGGGAGGGGCTTGAAGGCTGGCTTCAGTGGTCATGTCTTTCCCCCCAAATGCTAATTCCACAAAGTGCTGAAAACATGCTTCAGTTCACAGCTGAAGTTGTGAGTGTCGGCACAATAACACTACAGGGTCACTTCACACACACTGCATTGTGTCAGCTCCTTCTCATTTCCTACATGTCACATGGACCCTGATTCCTTTTCTAATGAGACGTTTCATCGTTAAGCTTCTGCTGATAGAACCTCTGCTAAGAAACTCTGGTAAGATACATGTCTGTCAAACCGATCTTCATCCTGCTGACTGAGAGCAGGGGTAGAGGTGGACAACTATGACGCGTGTGTGTGTGTGTGTGTGTGTGTGTGTGTGTGTGTGTGTGTGTGTGTGTGTGTGTGTGTGTGTGTG